CTACAGAAAGCGTGTATTATAGTAGCAGTAGTATGAATTTCCTTTCTAATTTGTCAGCTTGGCCAAGATTCAACTTCTAAAGAGTTGCTTTAGATTAGGGAGATTTTGAGAACCCACATCTTCCCATAGCCCTAGAAGATGTGGCTGGATGAAACTCTGGCATTCTCCCCGGAGCTTCCTTCTGTCTCCATTCCTGTTCTGAGTTCCTCAATTTAGTGAATAAAAGAAGGCTAGTGAAGCGCCTTAATTATACTGAAATCAATCCTGGACAGCAGGTTACAGCAAACATTTTACAATGAGTGAGGGTTTGTGGGTGGTTTGTGGATTGTGTGTCATAGTGTGCTGTTTATGGAAACATACAGGTGTTTTGGTTTTCAGAAATGTTGAAACGGTCTCTGATAATTTGAAATTTTGGAGTATACCTATTTTTGACTTCCTTTTTTTTTTTCTTTTCAGATTTGTTTTTTTACATCTTTTTTTTTTTTTTTTTTTTTTCAAATTGTTAATGTGTCCAGTTTGTAAAAACATTTTTCTTAGGATTTTTTTTGTGATTATATTTGTCTTAAATTTGTTAACCGGTAGGAAAATGTCATCTTTATTGTCCAACCATTGTATGCTTTCACCAGTATTTCTGCAGATGTCTAAAACTTTCATATAGAAAAATCTTTGTGATAATAGTGGTTTTTGTCAGGTGGTAAGTCATCAAACAAATGAGTTGTACAAAATGACTTTCTACTTACATCAACCTTTTCTCTTATAGGAAAGTGTATGATTCTGATTTCATGCTCATTTGTAATTCTTATCAGCCATAGTGGTACTTTAGAGTCTACTGTGGTAAATGTATGTATAGCACTTTACTGTATATGTGATAATTTGTTTTTGAAAAAATGCATAGATTTTCTTAAGAATCCCTTTTTTTTTTTGTATTTATAGGCTAGAAGAAAATTTGCCTGCAGGCTGTGGATTTTGCCACATACCATATGATGAACTGAATATGCCATTTCCAGCTCATCTGACATATTGCTATAACTGTAGGAAACAAAAAGTTCCCGATGTCCTCTTTACAACTATAGA